CTTTCCCCATTAAACTTGCAAAGAACAACAACAAAACATTAAGTCATTTAAGCATTTTTGTACCTATTAAACTTATTGCATTAATGTCTTTGCCAAGACTGTTATCTTTCTGAGTTTTGTCTCTGTGTTAAATACACCTAGTCCAACCCTAAGTGCAAAACTGGTCCTCTCGCATGTTGAACTGAATTAATTTATAATAGTAAACATCCCTCAGTTTCTTCAGGAAGGCTTTTTTTAATGATGAACTCAAATTCACAACTAGTTATAACATTTCATTCACCATAACTCTGTATTTCATTAATATGGATCTTCAAATATAAATATTTGCACTGTTTTCATGATACAATCACAAACTATTATAAACATAGTCTTCCCAACAGATTATAAATTCATTGTGGCTGAGGATCAAAGCCCAGCTATTTTTAAAAAATAAACTGTGTGGATAATACAGCATCTCCCATCACCATGTACTTGACCAGTACTGGCTGGCTGGCTGCTGCTGATTCCAATCTTTGGTTGAAACCTGATGCGCTTTCTGGCCACCACACCCTTAAAACAGACTTGTGATTAACTTTCTATTATTTGGCAAACCTCCAACAATCCTAACGGAGAACTAACAAAGGGACGGTCCTGATTATAGTCAGTCCGTTCTGTAACTTGACATGCAGATTGCACTTGAGTCTTAAATACGGTAATAGTTCAACACCTGTCACCCTGGAAAGATAGTAAGTCTTCCCCCAAAACATCTCAGGACATAATTTTCAATCCCCTTGATTCTAAAAATACTGAGTGAGTGATACAGATCTGCCAGTATGCCAAAGAAGGCTTGTGCCATCTGCTTCATGCTGTTCATGCTGAGTATTTTGGGGATGAGAGAGCATCAGATTGGAATAAGAACATATATATATGGCAACAGCCAGGAAGGACTGTGTTCCCTGAGGGCTGATGGTATACGACGGCGGAGGGAGAGGTCAGGGCACAAGTGTAGTTCCAGGACGTCCCCAGTGCTGCGTAACACAATCAGCTAATGGGAGACAAATGTTTTACAACATTCTCAAAATAAACTATGACTTCTGGCTTCTATTTCCATTGTCCCCAGTGACACGATGCAAGGCCCATTTCTGAGAGGAAACTGAATTTCCATTTTTAGTCCCGCAACATGGGAACTCTTAAGTTCTTTTCTTGACTCCATTCATCACTCCTTGTGGACAAGAAGGTTCTACTCCGAACTTTTTTCTCTCCTAGTCCTGAAACCTGGGATTGCTTTTATATATGTGTGTTAAGGCCAGTTTTAAAAGGGCCTCTAATAAGGTTCTGTTTCTTCTTACACTCACAAAATATGAAAGAGCCAATCACGGAGCAGGGCAGGTGGAAATGCATTGTTTATTTGGCCCCAGGAGGCTCCTAGAGAGGGCGCTCCCCTCAATATTTGAAGGACTCTGATAGCAAGTCTCTATCATCTATGAAAAAACCATCCAGAAACAACAGCTGGAGGAAGAAGCTACTCAGAACCTCCAGGTGGTTTTGCTACTTCTTGTTTTTCATTATGCACATGCGTTGTAAAACCTGTTAGGTGTTGTATCTGAGCAAGCACGGCGTTAGAAGAACTGGGGCTCATTATATGTCTCATCAGCGAAAGAGGAGCTCTTGGGGCTGGACTAGTAACCTGGTTGAGAATTACAGATGTGAAGCTTGATGAGTACCCTACCAGATGGCTGTGGCTGGGTTTTCAACCTTAACTGAGAACAGGGGTTCGTAAGTGGGGCCCATGGCTGAGAATTCTCAAAAATTTTGTGCAAAATTAGGAGGCATGTGTATTAGAGTTCTTAGGAGAGGGACCATAGCTTTCTTCAGA